GAAACGCTTTTTAGCCCTTTCAAGGCAGAGGAAAAAGGTTCTCAATATGATTTTGAACGTGCCTTTTCTCATATTGACGTAGATATTAATCGTAGAAAATTTTTCCATAGTAAAATAATAATAATAAAAAAAATATATTAAAAAAAATAAAAATATTAAAAATAAAAATAAAAAATAAATAAAAAATAAAAATAAATAAAAAGTACATTGAAAACATATTGAGAACCATTTTGCCTCTGCCTTGAAAGGGTTAAAAAGCGTTTCATATATGACAGACTCTGCATTAAAGGGTTAAATGCTGCACTTTCGTAAAGATATCGACCAGTATAACCATTCTTGTTATATAAAGTTTTTTGTGAAAGCTGATAGTTTACGAGTTATTAGAGTTTAAAGTAAGCTTTTATTTTCCAATCTGGCTACTCGGGTACAGCATCCAATGTCCCAAAAATTGAGTCTTAAGTAAAATAAAGAGAAATATTTCAGAAACAGTGCTAATGGTGTATTACGAATAGTGTTTTCTAGTGGAATGCGAGCCAAAATCCAAAATTAAAAAAAAAGTTACATTTTGAACGGTATTTTGAGGGTTAAGTTATTGTTGTTGTAACTTCTCTATAGTTTTCCTGTACTATATGATAATTTATATTCACGACAAAAAAAATTCATTCCATTATCTCTTTTCTAACCGAAGATCTACGATTTTGAAAAAAAAGTCGTAGTATAGTGCGGCGTTGCCAAATTGTTACCAAGTTACCAAACAGCGCAGTTTGTTTATTGTATTAAGTTATGAATGAAACAGTCTGCAGGAAATCGCAGTAGAAAACAAAATACGGCGTATAGCGGCAATCAGTAAATAGAATTTGAAAAATATATGTACATATTTTAAGAGTTCTAATTTTTTTACAACGAGATGTCAAATCATCATCGGCGAATTCAGCATACATGCATAACACAGACCAACAAAAATGAAAAAAAAATGTTGGTGCGACAAATGTTAAAGCTATTTTTGATAGACTTTTTTGTGCTGATTACGAATCCGTAAGTACAAAGGATCCAACACGTACAGGTTTTGAGAAAATCGAGGTCAAAGTGTCAAAAAATCGGGCTTTTGCAATATTTGAGAAGCTCTAGCAAAGAGTAAAAAGGTGATAGAACCTTCCACTTAGGCTTAGATTAAACCAAGAACCCTCGACTACTATCCTTGAAAATACCATTCCTGCACTTTGAATTTATGGTCACTTATTGTCATCTATTGAGGAGTAAAATTTGACTTTTGGCGAAGTTTGAGTCCCTGCCGCAATCAAACAAAAGTTGATAGAACCTTCCACTTAAGCTTAAATTAAGGCTTGAACTTTCGACTACAATCCCTAAAAATACCATCTCTTCGTCTTTACCCTAAGATCACTTATAGACGTTTATTGAACAGCAAAAACTGATTTTGGCAGCATTTTTTTTTTTCAATAGCACAATTTGTCAGCATTTTTTTATTGTTCAACAAATGACTATAAATGGCCATCAAGTAAAGGTGCAGGGCTGGTATTTTCAGCGGCAGTAACCTAGGGTTCTAGCTTTAAGTTAAGCCTAAGTGGAAGGTTCTACCACATTTTTACTCTTTGCTCGAGCTTCTCAAATATTGAAAAAAACCCGATTTTTTGACACTTTGACCACGATTTTCTCAAAATCTGTACGTGATGGAATCTTTATAATTACGGATTCGTAATCAGCTCAAAAAAGTCTTTCAAAAACAGGTTTAACATTTGCCGCACCAAAATCAGTGTTGCCCTGTGTAATTGGTTAGGTATGTATATGTATGTATGCAGATATTTAAATGCCGGTTTGCTATTCGCGCGACAAACTTTTTTAAAAACGAAGTAAATTAGTACAAATTGTTAGTAATTTTCATTAGAGTTTGAGTAACTCCTTTCACTAAATGGCTTTTAATAACTTTAACGAGACCTTAACTTATTTTATTTTATTAATTTTAGTGCAGTTTTGACAAAATTTTTATGCTAAAAAATCTTTTGCTACACTACTTTATTTTATTCCTTTGATTGTACATGTTAAATAAAAGCTTGTTTTGAAAAAATATTTTTTTTTTACATTATTTTATTTTTCCATTCGAAACAGTAAGAGTGGCACCTTTCTAAAATCTTTATTAAATTAGCAATTTTTTTATGTAATGTAAAGTTATAGCTCAGTACAATTTTTTTTCACCAGAGATAGTCAAAGTTGGGGAAGAAAATATCGCAAATTAAAAATCCCAAAATAGTCCTAATTTTATGATGGTTCCTCAATATATTTTAACTACATTGCATTTGGGAATGGAGAAGCAACTATCTGGAAGTAGTTTACATAAACAATTTACTAAGTATAGCCTGGTTTGTAGATGCAGTTAAAGAAAATACACGAAAAGGCACGATTTATTTTTTATTTATTTTTTAAATGTAAATATTTCAAAAACGGTGACATTTTTACCTGAAAATTTTATGTTTATCAGGGATTTTGGGGTAATTTGGTTTAGATCCCATCATTGGATCATGAAAAAATAAACGGTACTCTTAACTTTTTATATGAGAATTGAAGTCGGTTGAGGTTTTTGCTTAAAAATTACTCGTTTAATAAAAAGTGCTAAAAACACGAGATGCGCTCAACTTTAAAAAGTAATAAAAAATGTTAAAAAAGAGTTTTAAGTTCAATTTCCTTGATTTCTGGTTTTCGATGGAGATGGTGATTTTTCACGATTACCAAATTTTTTTATTATTTCGAATACCGAAAAAATTAACTGAACTTGTATTTTTATTATGTAGTTCATTTTGGTGGAACGAATTCGAAGTTGGCAAATTAAATCTTCGAGTCCTTGTTAAGTATATGTACATCAGTGGTAAACTCTTAGGCTGTAAAGTGTATCAAGTAAAATGAAAAATTCATATAAAATGACGCACAAGAAATGGAAAAGAAACTTTCTTCTATCAAAATTTCTTAAATCAGTTTGCAGCTCGCAAGAAAAAAAAATCTCGTTTATTTATTTCTTCAAGAAAATTTACAGCAAAAGCAAAGTGCTTGAAAAATAAGCCACAGAAATAAAAAAAAAATATTTCTTGTGACTTTTCTTGAGAGCTAGATTCTAAGCTTTAATATAAAGTTTGTATTTGAAGTTATTGGGGGGGTTTGAACCCCAAAACCCACACCTTGTGTGCGCTAATGATTACCACTGATAAAACTTATACATATTTGGCAAACAAAATGACAATAATTTTCGCCTGTGAAGTCGGTAGCTAGGGAATTACCCCATTCCCACGGGCACATTCTTAATTCGATTTGACAGTCCTCTATTTCTGTGTTCTTTTTTTCATCGCTACAAAATTTATGCAAAATATAAGTTATTGCTAAAAATTCATTATTTTTCATATTAAATTGGTGATGTACACATTCGATTTATTGCGAAAAACATTAGTACAATAAGAGTTAGAAAAATAAAATAAATAAATTATAATTCTTAAAACTAAGATTTATAATAAACATACACTTGAAAATAATACAATCGCTATCCATATTGGCTGAAAATATATGTTTAGATAGATATTTAGATAGCGCAACTCATAATTATGCAAAATATATATGTACACACACATGTATATATTTGTTTTAACGAAAGTACGAATATAGAATCGGGATGCCGTGGAAAAGCCGTATTAAATATTATTGATTAAGGCTAAAAGGCGTTTACACTGTTCAACTTTCACAGGCGGTTAGTTGAATCACAAGTTTACATCATTTAACTGAAAGTTGAACAATGTAAACGCCTTTTATGTAAATACAATGATTGTGTACGATTAGGAAATATGTAATAATATTCTGAACGATTTTTTTTTTAATTTCATCACTGCTATAAAGCTTGAAAAGGAGGACAAGGAGAACTTTATGCTCAAAAGGAGGACAGAGAACGATAATATTTTTGAGGAGGACAAATCACTCCAAGGAGGACGGTTGGTCAGCTCAGGTATGGGGCTGTACCACTGTGCGACGTTAAACACTTGAATAATCACAAACAAAAAATATTAGACATAAAATTTACATACACATGGTTGGCTGACGGTGCCAGAACCATACAGTTGCGTGTGAACTCCAAAAAAATGGACTTGATCACATTATTTTAATACATACCAAGATTAACCTAAAAATGCCTTAAAAATACCATAAATACCATCATTATTATATAAGGTTATGTTAAAAGTCACAAATATGAGCCAATTGTAAGTCGGACCTGTACCACAGTATACCAGTAGAAAAGGTTTTTGTTTTTGTAGCTGTTTCGTGGTGAAAGTCCTTTATGGGGACCAAATTTCCCCACAAGAAATTGGACGCATGGTTGCTTTTGCGTCTCAAAAGAATGAATATTAGAAAACATTAAAAAAGTCTAAGGTAATACAATTATATTCAACTAAAAATAATCACGATAATTTGCACTTATGAGTTAATGTGATAATCATGTGTAAAAACTCTGTTCAACTATTATTTTTCACAAAATAATTTTGCGGATCAGATTGCTCGGAGCGGTTGTGTTGTTTACCAAGAAAATGCAGCCCTGTTGGTTTTTATTTCTGTATCGCATCGCGGTGAGTTTCTATTTATTGGTAATTCGGTTGTGAAATGGTAAACAAATTATTGAAATTTATTTATTTGATGTGTATAACATTTCATTAATGCAATTTTCTGTATTTGCAGACTATTAATTACAAGCACAGCATCATCAACGGTGATTGCAAGAACTACTGCAATCCCTGCGGTTTTTCCTCTTGGTAAATGCGTTCTGGTCGTGACCAAGGGTGGTCTCCCAAATCGGCCGGGAATAAGGTTAGTCATTTTAAATTTTATATCCTTGTTCGTCGACATTATATGACATCACATCATTGTAGGCTATTGTTGCAGAACAAAACGCTGCAACCACTGCTGTGGTAAATATGTTCCAGCAGAACTGCCCACCGCCGTCGGTGTAATGATTTCGATAGCTGAACAAATGCCATCTCCTGGGCATTCCCACAGCTTGCCGACACTAGCTATTATATCACGTGTGAATGCAACTGCGGCTAAATTTGGTTATTAACAGTGCAATAGTACCATGTCATTGGCAAAAACACTAAGGGCTGCTGGCACCAGTGTTGCCAGCTTTTGAATTTCAAAAAGCCCCAAACCTTGGAAAAACGAGCGTTTTACCGTACTAAAAGAACTAAATTTTTTTTTAATCAAAGGATACTCTTTTTTCATAACAGTTTGTGGTAAACAAAAGGTAAAAAATAAACACTATTTACATGTATAAATAAATACCAGAGAGCTGCATGGATACACTCAAATTACATTTTAAGTCACTCGCTTTCTTTTCACATCTGCACACACTCGCACTCATTTATTTCCAAACATAACGTGCGATATCATTCAAAAAACATTGTCGGTTGAGTGAGTAATTCACACTATCAAGTGCTCGATTCAAATAACAAGTGCTTGTAACGACGGTATCAAAGAAAAAACATTTGTAAAGACAATTTTTGTTAAATTTATTGGTTTCCTAACTGCATATTATAATGCAAAAATATCAACTGATTAAGGGCATCATCATTTGACAAAAGGTGGCATCTTTTGTCAGAAATAACATTTCTAGCAGAAGAAAAAACTCTTTCTGACGATGCGCTAGTTGAAGGAGTGGCTATTACTCTACGACTGAGTTTATGCAGCAGTCCGTATGAAAATATACCTCAATATTTTCATATCGCCGCAGCTCTGCAGTAGCTTTATCAGTTCTGCTCACAAAGGTAGGTTGTTTAAGAAGACCTGAAAACAGCTCAAAGTTGTCTGAAGGTAACAAAGGTGTATCCGCAATTTGTGGTTCCGTTGTACTATCTGAATTCCCAGTTAATGTTCTCATAATTGGTATAAACATTTTTCCTTTTGTGTACCTTTGCTCAGATTCGGTAAAGTTCTTGAGCTCTTTTGCTGGCGGGTATAAAAAAA